CTGCGTCTCATTGGTAGCAGGCCTGAGACGGTCCATAGTGGGCCAACTGAAATTCCCGAATCCTCGGTGCCGAACAAATATGGTGAGCTCCCGGTGCGCAAATGGAGGTGGCTCAACGAGCTCCAGGTGGGAGGCTCGGTGGTGTGAGCCCCAGGCGCAAATTGAGGGGAGGCTCGGTGGTCCTTTGTGGTCCGACCTATGTGGTACTTTGTTCGAGGGGAGGATTGTTGAGGTGCAAACAATGTCCCACATCGGTTAAATATGGGAAAGATCTATCCTTTATAAGGAGGGGATAGTAACTCCATTGGTATGAGGCCTTTTGGGGAAACCCAAGAGCAAAACCAGTTGGGCCCGGCCCAATCTGGACAATATCATACCAATGTGGAGTTCGTGCTATCCCCGCGGGGGCCCAACAGTGGTATCAGAGCGTTGTTAAGGGTCCGTCCGGAGCGGCGTACGAAACCCTGGTCCAGGGGTTTCGTTCAGGTATAAATTTCTACTCTTGGTGAGTTGATTATTCTTTGTGATAATTATACCTGTTATTGGTGAATCTTGGTGATTCTTTGTTTATTGCTTCCGCTAATAATTTGTGTGAATCTGCGTGATTCTTTATCTTTGTGATATTTGAAAAATTGGAATCTTTGTGATTCGATTTTGCTTTGAAATTGTGAATCTTTGTGATTCTATTATCTGTGTGATTTTTTGAAAAATTTGTGAATCTTTGTGATTCGATTTTGCTAAAGTTTATTGAATCTTTGTGATTCTCTTGTGTGTTGATCCTGCTGATATTTAATCTTGGTGATTTTGCTATCTTTGTGATACTTGAATATGGGATCTATGTCTATGTTATCTTTAGCTCCTTTCGATGGAAAGGGTGATTTTTCTATTTGGCAACAAAAAATGAAAGGTATTTTGATCCATCAAAAATGTTTTAAAGCGATTTCTCTAAGTGAGGAAGTTTTTATAACTGTTGCTAAACGTGAAGAACTTGATGATCTTGCTTATTCTGCTATTATCTTGAATCTAAGTGACTCTGTGATTAGAAAAGTAGGAAAGCATGATTCTGCTAGAAGTTTATGGGATAAATTGGAAGAGCTTTATGTTGAAAATTCTTTGCCCAATAAAATGTTTTTGCTTGAAAAGTTTTTTGGATTTAAATTGGACTCTCGCAAAAATATTGATGCTAATATTGATGATTTTACCAAGTTAGTTCAAGATATTAAATTAACTGGTGATAAGAATATTGATGATTATACCCCTATTGTGCTCTTGAATGCTATTCCTGATGTTTATAATGATGTTAAGTCTGCTATTAAGTATGGTAGAGATAAAATTACGTTAGATACTGTGATCAATGCTTTAAAAAGCAAAGAGCTTGAATTGGGAATTAATAGGGATAAATCATTTAGTGAGGTTAATTTTATTAAAGGAAGTCAGTCTAATCGTTTTCAAAACAATAAGGCTTCTTCTAGTCAAATTGATCAAACTAAGAAAAAGGGTGGAGATTGGAGTAAGTCAAAGGCTAATCCTAATAATAGAAGGTGCTTTAATTGCGGTGACCATAATCATTTTATTAGTGATTGTCCCAAGCCTAAGAAAAACCAACATAGTGATCAAGCCAATATGATTTGTGATGGTGGTGATGTATTCTAATGTGTTAGAATATTTGCATTACTTTGTGTTTTGCTTGTGTTTTTTGCATTACTTTGTGTTTTGCTTGGTTTTTGCATTACTTTGTGTTTTGCTTGGTTTTTGCATTACTTTGTGTTTTGTTTTTTAAACTTGTACTAACTTTGTGTTTTGAGTGCAGGTAGTTTCTTACGGCAATGATGATCTCGTTTTTCCCCTTAAATGTCCCGATGACTCATTTGGGCCAGGTGGAGATTATTGGGATTTTGGCCCAAATGTTATCTCTTCATCTGTGGCCCAATACCAGCATGTAACCGGCCCATCTTGGAGCAAGCCCACACTTGAAAAAGCCCACGTGGAGAATAGGACTTGACCCAATTAAGAGGTAAAATCGTGAAAAACGATTAATTTTCTCCACCTAAAAACTGATCTCGCCCCTCTGCTTTTCCATCCCCTTTTCTGGTCCGATCTTTCCGCCGGAGATCTGTGACACCAGTATCTTGATTCCTCGGTTTCCGTTGAAATCAGTTCTTGGGTCTATTAAATAGACCTCTTCTTCGTGAGAGAAAAGGGACCAAGAAAATTCAACCTACGTTACACCTTGTTCGTAAATCTTTTCTTCGTGACTGATTCGACTCTTTGTGAGTCTCAACTCTTTGTGAGTGTTTGGGTGTTGGGTTGAGTGCTGTGTGTGTTTGATTTATTCGAACTCTTGCTCCTTTGTGTGTTTGGGGTTTTTTCGGGTTTTTCCGGTTAGAAATCTGAGAGGGATTTGGGCTATTGGGCTTGTTCCGGTGGGTGCGTGGCTGCGGCTGGTGAGTCTTGGACGAGGACGGATGGGAATTGAGACTGAGCCGGGAACCTCAATCGTCGGCAGAGAATCATCCTCCCACGAATCTGTGTGATTCGCCGTGGTTCTTCTTTCCCCTTTATTACTCTAGTTTTTCCTTATTATTTGTGTTATTTGTTTCCTACTTCTTTTTGCAATTATTCTGATTTTCTTGTAGTCTTTATAATTGTTATGATTTGCAGTTGTTGTTAGGTTTAAATAATATAAGTAATAATTAGAGTCCTGTACCCTTATTCCCATAATTGTTTTGTTTTCGGTAATTGCTGTCATATGCTATAATTAATTGATTTAGTTGATTTATTATATATTATATTTTAATTGTTTCGAATAAAATATGAGTGCTAAGATTTTGTGTGGTTTGTCTTCTCCGGGCGGATACCCAACAGCCTAACTCGATTTTGGGCTGAGTTGAATCGTACAGCCCATCATATGTGAAGAGGGAGTTTTTTAGCTTCGGCGGCCCATTATCCATGAATAATCAATATTATCCATCAGCAATACCAAACATAGGTTAGATAAGTTTATTTAAGATTATTCACTTATATTAATAATATCCACGTGGACTGTCACCATTTAGATATCCTATCCGTACCCACTACACTAGTTATCCTATTTTCAATGCTCCAATAGCAAATACCTACACGTTTTGATACGGGCTTGATTGACAATTAATAAATAAACATAAGCCCATTAGAGTAAGCCCAATACGATAGGCCCATAATGAAGAACCCATGATGTCTTAGCTCGGTACCGTGAGCGAAGTCGTCATATGACGCGAACCCCGGAACTACTTGGGAGTACCTTAACTCGCTAGCCCAATACCAAAACGAGGTAAGGCGAGCCCAGGACAATACAGGCCCAAGATACATGACTTGGGGGAAAAGAGAAACCCTAAAAAAGGAAAGCCTTGGAGGCCAAGCTTTCCTCATCTATAAATAAGAGAATCAACACACACACAAAGGGATGAGATTTTTACACTAATCACTATTACATTGCATATACATCTTTCTATTTCTGATCACTGACTTGATCGTCGGAGCTTTCCCGCCGGGAACCCCTCCCGGCGTTGCAGGTTTATTCACCCGGAGTACGAACGGAGCTGGCTTGAGGAAGACGGAGACCTACGGACCAAATCAAGTGGCGCCGTCTGTGGGAAAGGCCTAAAAATCAGGAGAAAACAGCTTCCGGGAAAAATCAGATCTACCCCCGGAAGTCCAGATCTGAGCTGAGAACGTGGAGAAAGAATGGACGGAGAAGACGCAGTCGCCCGGAATTTGCAGAAGGATTTGGATGCGGTAGCCCGTGGTGCACCGGTTGACCCA